GCTGCAAGCTCGAGGTCATGAGTTGGATAATTCTTCTCATGTACCTTAAGCTGTCTAGAAGCATAAGCTATAACCTTACCTCGCTGCATCAACACACAACCTAGGCCGACTCTGGATGCATCACAATAGATCACATAACCATCTGACCATTGGAACTTAACCTTTTTCTGAGTTAACTTAGTCAATGGAGAGGCTATGGATGAAAATCCTTCCACAAACCGTCTGTAATAGCCCGCTAGACCTAAGAAACTTCTGATATCTGTAGCAGAGGTAGGTCTGGGCCATTGTTTCACTGCTTCTATCTTCTGGGAATCTACTTGAATTCCTTCACTAGACACAATATGCCCAAGGAAGGCAACTGATTGTAACCAAAACTCACACTTGTTAAATTTTGCATATAACTGGCGATCTTTGAGAGTTTGGAGAACAACTCTCAAATGACTTGCATGTTCTTCCTCATTCCTAGAGTAAATGAGGATATCATCAATAAAGACGATAACGAACAAGTCTAAGTACTGCTTGAACACTCTGTTCATCAAATTCATGAAAGCTGCAGGAGCATTGGTTAGTCCAAATGACATAACTACAAATTCGTAATGACCATACCGAGTTCTGAAGGCTGTCTTTGGAATGTCACTATCTCTGACTCTAAGCTGATGATAACCTGATCTGAGGTCTATCTTTGAGAAATGACTAGCACCCTGAAGTTGGTCAAACAAGTCATCAATCCTAGGAATAGGATACTTATTCTTGATTGTGACTTTGTTCAACTGCCTATAGTCAATACACATTCTGAGAGAACCATCTTTCTTCTTCACGAACAACACTGGTGCACCCCATGGCGAAATACTGGGTCTGATGAAGCCCTTATCTAGAAGGTCTTTCAACTGCTCTTTCAATTCCTTAAGCTCAGCTGGAGCCATTTTGTAAGGAGGGATAGAGATAGGCTGGGTATCTGGAAGGAGATCAATTCCAAAGTCTATTTTCCTTTCGGGAGGAACTCCAGGAAGATCTTCTGGAAACTCACTGACTACAGGAACTGACTCAAGAGTTGGGGTTTCGGAACTAGAATCCTTAACCCGAACTAGATGATAGAGATAACCCTTAGAGATCATCTTTCTGGCCTTAAGGTAAGAAATGAATCGACCCATAGGCGCTAAGCTACTACCCTTCCATTCTAGAATTGGTTCGTCTGGAAACTGAAAACGAACAATCCTAGTTCTACAATCAACTGAGGCATAACATGAATGTAACCAATCCATGCCTAGAATGACATCGAAGTCTACCATTTCTAACTCTACAAGATCTGCTGAGGTGACTTTCTGAAAGACTGTGACAGGGCAATTTCTGTATACCCGTCTAGCTATAACTAGGTCACCGACTGGAGTAGAGACTGAGAAGGGTTCTGAGAGAGTTTCTGGGCTAACACTGAATTGGACTGCTATATAAGGAGTTACAAAAGACAAAGTAGCCCTGTTGTCTTCCCACTAAGTGAACCATACGTGAGCCACATCCTTAAGTTGGTAGGATGCAAACTCAACCCTACCATTACTAGTTACTTGCATCACTCTAAAGATTTTCTTAACCTCATCAATGAAGTTATGTGGGTCTTCACCAACTTGTGACCCTAAAACTTAGGCGGATTCATCCTTATAAAAATCTCAAACTCTAGCTGCCACTGATCCACCATTTCTATTAGTAGGAACTGGAACTTGTGATTGTTCTCGTTGGTTATACCTGAGCCAAAAGCTGAATTGGCATTTCGAAACTCTGCATTCGAAACTTTCTGATCTGGGACTAGAGGAACTACGTTAGCATTGCGTGCATTAGCATTCCTTGCCTAAGCTCTATGATGGATTAGAAAGGAGATCATACCAACGCACGATAAGAATATCAAGAAAGTGACGTTTTCCTAAAACACTTCATAGCCTCCCTTTCATTAGATGTGGTGCACTTCACACCCATGAAAAGGACTCTACTTAGTGTGGCTTTTCAGACATCCTAGGACACTTAAACCTAATGCTCTGATACCAAGTTTGTCACGCCCCAAGCTACCCCCAAGACGCGGACACGGGACCTAGGACCACAAATGATCCCAAGCTAACCCTGCTGGCATGATCATGAGCATACTAAAGATAATAAACTGATGCGGAAGCTAATTCATAAATAAATCTGAAAAGATGGGGAATACTCATATACTATAACTGAATATATCAAATCTGAGAGTTTAATACAAAAGAAATATCAAACTTAAAACACTAAGCTGAATCTAACTATGTCTGAAATAAGCCTCTAAACTGACTAGAAATGTTGGGACATGTCCCAACTAGATCTAGCAAAACTGAAACTAAAGACTAAAAATACTGAAAAGAAACTCATGACTATTGTCCCCGAAGAATGAGGACTCACCAACTGATTCTGCTGAACTGAAGATCGGGAATCGATCTAAGCGTGATATGGATGCTGAGAACCTGAACCTACATCACGAGAAGATGTAGCGCACGTATGCGTCAGTACTTGAAAGGTACTGAGCATGCAGGATAGAGTAATGCTGAAATAACATATAACTGAACAAAGCATACTGAGCAATGATATAATCTGAACATGATATAGATACTGAAATACTGAATACTGAGCTAACTGAATGCAATGACCAAATTTATAACATGCTGAGACTGAATACTGACTGTACTGAAATATGGTCAATGCAATAGAGTCTGACTAAACTGTGGGAGCTACTAATAACCGACATAAAACCACATGAGCTAAATGTGGAGTCCGATGTATACGCCCCATCGAGAGGACCCAATATACCCTGCCAGAGGTATAGAGGCATGCTGGCGTGATCACTAAACTGATGTTGCCCACAGAGGGGACTTACACCTACGTGGCTCGTAGTTCTGGGACTATATGGGTACGCTGAAACCCTAGTCCAACTCGGTATTATGCTACTCCCAATGAATTAAGTGGTTAACTAGTTATGAATGAATTTCTGTAAATACTGGATAGCTCGAAACTGAACATGCAAACTGAGAGTGCAACAATTAATCTGATAATGATGCATTCATAAACTGAGGCATGTAAAACTGAATACTGAAATATCTGACCTAGCATGTGTAATTCAAGAACTAAAGAAATACATAGCTAGAGTTCTGAAATTCATGTGATAAACTGAGCAATAACATGATAATCTGATTTGGAACATTTAAATAACTAATTCATGATGGTCTGCTATAATTCTAGAAACCCTAGGTCTGTTCATAATCATGGAATCAAGAATCTGATTGAATTCTAGGGACCTAATGGGCGAAAGGAACTCACTAGTGAAATCCCACATACCTGTTGACGAATTCCACGGAGAAATCTTTCGATTTCGGGGCTGGAACTGATGGAACCTTGCTGCGTTCTTGAACTAGGGTTCTTGGCCTTTTTCTCCCTTCTTGCTTCTAATTTTTCTAAGTTTGATTAATGATTTGACTTAGGTAAGTTCTAGTTATGTTTCTAGGTTTAAACTAATTAAAACCTCATGATTTAGGGTCTAAACGACGTATCTTAGGGGTTAAACGAAATAGGAAAAGACCAAAAGACCCCTGAATTAACTGCTGTCGGAGTGACCGACGGTTTGGACCTACGGGCCGTAGGTCAATCTACGGTCCGTAGATTGGGTCCGGAGTTCGAGTCTGCCCGACAGGTCTTCACTAAAATGGGCATAACTTTTTACTCGGAGGTTGGAATTTAGAAAACTTGGTGGCTTTGGAAAGGTAATTCAATTATCTATCTAACCATAGGTTATGGGACACATAATTCATTTTGTGCTAAAAGTTATGACCATCTGAAGTTGACCCATCAAAATTTTCAGCTAACTGGCTGCTAACCTTCGATCTACGATCAGACCTACGGACCGTGGATCGATTGACGGTCCGTGCTGGTCGACCGTAGTTTGTGTCAGAGGCTGTTAAGGGAAGTCTTGATCCACGGACACAGACCACGGACCGTGGTCTGATCTACGGACCGTGGGTCTGTCCGTGAGTCGGGACTTATCCAATTTTCTGAGCTGGTTTGGGGAGGGGTTGCAGTGGTGAACCACGGACCACCAGCACGGGCCGTGGTCTGACCTACGGTCCATGGATGGTGACCGTACGTTGCACCTGCAACTTTTCAAAATCTGCATTTTTATCTGTTTCGAATACTGGGTGTTACAGTAGAGGTGGAGGAGCGAGTGGTTTTTATTGCATGATCTTGCTAATTGAATTCTTATATTATGTGGTGGTCATCGGGTTGACCGATGATGCCTACCAGTACGTGTGGTTTGTACGGATACTACTCTTGCTATGTCTTTTTGGGCATAGTCTGGATATGTAAGAGCCTTTGATTGACTGTGTTATCCGGTATTTGTGCAAGTGGGAGGTAGTAGGTACTCCATGGAATTAGTCTAGGTGCGTGCAAGGGGCCCAAATGCCACGGTTATAAAAAATAATACTTTTAATGGTTGTATTATAAGTATAATTAGGCATCCTTGTGACTAGGAAATCTTCCTTATTTTCTGTAGACTATACTCCTATAAAGGAGCTCATCGTATCACTACAAGAAACAACTTTATTTAAGACCAATATTTATGGACGAGTTAATAATCCCGTCTCTGAAAGTACATATATTGGGACGATATTTTATTTCGGTCTTTAATTTCATATGTTATTGTGAATGTTCTAAATCTGGTCTCTAGAAAAAGTAGTAACTCGTCCCAAATTAAAACTTGGGTCTTGAGAAATATATTGGAAGGCGGGAACATATTTTCACCAAAAAATTAGCCGCTTAAAAATTCATCAATTCACTAAAATTCTAAAAAGGAAAAGAAAACAAAGAAAAGACACTTCAGTTTGTTTCTCAATGAAATCAAAAAGAACCCTAGCAGCGATCTTCCCTAGATAGCAATCAGCTTCCCTTACAGCGATCTTAGTGTACGTAGCTCTCAACTAAAAATCTGTGTTTTCTCAAAACAGAGAAAGCACGGGTCTGCCTAGCAGCAAACGCAATACAGGTCTCATTGATTAGTGTTTCATCTCTGTTTTCTCAAAACAGAGAAAGCAGAGGTCTGCCTAGCAGTGATCTCCACTCAATATATATCTTCTATTCACTCGGCTCTCAGGTATGCCTCCACTTCGACGAGTTGATTTGATTTTTTTATGTACAGTTGATTTGTTGTTTGTTTTGTGCGAGTTGTAACTCATCGTCTTGTTTGAGTTCTTGTTCTCTAAGACTAGATGTTGATCGTTTTCTTAAAAAAGATTCAGTTTCGTAGTGTGATATGATGCCAAAAGTGAAGGGGATCGATCAGTCCTTAAAGAAGTATGTGTTCCTAAAGATAAATAATAATGAACTTGAAAAGAGGCACTAACAACTCAATGAGCTAAAACAATATTAAGAGATAATATAGAGAGTGTTTTGTTTAAGTTGAGAAATCTGTTATGAATTACAAGTGAACTACTAACAGGGCAAGTGAGACAAGTAATAACAGAATGTTACAACTGAATAAGTTAAAAAAAAGATAGTTTCGTTTGGGTCTGAAACTGATGAAATATGTAAAACACAATAGAACTGATGCAACTAACCTCCTGTGGTGCTGCACATAGAAGATTGAATGAGTGATAGTTTCGTTTGGGTCTGAAAATTGGAAAACTTGATAACTTTCAAGAAGATGCATTCTAATAGTTGTTTAAAACATTCTTTCAATTTTTTCTAATTGGTTCTCTTATTTCTGTCTACTTGTATATCAGCTGTGCATCCTCTTCTGTGAGTTTTTTTCCTTCTCTAAATTCAATTTGTTGATTGTTTTCTTCTTATAGCATAGTGTATAGTGTGTTCCTAAAGAATCGATCATATTTTGACGATTAAATTAACACGAGCTGATGAACGATGAAGAAAGCAATAGAAAACTGATGCAAATTACCTCTTGTATATGATGTACATATTAGGTAGAAACAACGATAGTTTCATTTAGGTTTCAAAACTTGGAAAACTCAAGATTTTTCAATAGTTGCACCATAGATATTTTTTCTGTAAAACAGAATCACTGGCTATTTTCTGTCTGTTCAACTTTCTGGTAAGCTTCCTCTTTTGGGAGCTGATTTTTTCTTCTTCTCTATATTTGATTTGTTTGAGTTACACTATACTTGTTTGAATTACTCTTCATCTTTGAGATTAGCTGGTCAATTCTTTTGAAGTATATCATAGTGTTTTGTGTGTGTCTAAGGAATCGATCATATTCTTTTACAATCAAATTAACTCGAACTCACAAAAGATGTAAGAACAAACAAAACTGATACAAATTACCTCATGTGGTGTTGTACATAGAAGGTAGAAATAGTTATAGTTCCATTTGCGTTACAAACTTACCAAACTCGAGATCTTTCAAGAGATACGTTCTTATAGTTGCACCATATATTCGTCCATTCCTATCAAACTCACAATCACCACAAATGTATTAAAAAAACTGTAAATAACATATTGTAATTAACTTTTAGAAGGTTAAAGATGCAACTGAGTACTTACCATTATACTTCCTGTGATTCTATATATGAAATGTAGAAACAATGATAGTTCTCTTTGGGTGTAGAAACAATGATAGTTCTCTTTGGGTTTGAAACTTGACAAACTCGAGATATTTCAAGAAGAAACATTCTTATAGTTGCACCACATATTCTTCCATTCTTGTAAAAGTCAAGCTCGACAAATTTACCCAAATGACTGTAAATAACAAATTGTAAGTTGTGCGCATCTTATAATTTATCAAAACGTCTGTAAATAACATATTGTAAGTTGTAAATAATATTTTGAATTTAATTTTGATAACATAGTGAACTAGGTACAAAATCACAAGTTGTGTGCATTTAAAGTTTTTCCTTATCGTTTATATTTTCTTATTCTATTTTTATGTATTCTCCAAGGTTATGGCACCTAGTAAGCAATGGATGCAACTTTCTCTTGATAAACGGGTTGACCAAGCCTATTTAGACGGGGTGCAAAAGTTTTTGGATTATGCTTTTCGGGGATTAGGAGAAGAAGATGAAATACGATGTCCATGTTACAAATGTTGTAATACAACATTAGGAACTCGTGAGATGATTGATACACATTTGAAAGTATATGGAATAATTCAAAATTATACTTTTTGGTATCACCACGGAGAACATTTAGGTGAGCCAATGTCAAACTCTGAAGATGAAAGTGATCATGAAGTAGAAGATTATGAGAGTGAAGATGAAGTACAAGAGTTGTTGAATGATTTATATCCTAATGTTGATGGAGGAGCTACCCACACTGGTTATGATGATGTAGTTGAGGAGGAACCAAATGTTGAAGCTAAAAGATTTTACAGCCTATTGAAGGATTTGGAGCAGCCACTATACCAAAACTCAAAGGCTTCAAAGCTTTCATCTTTGATTAAATTGCTTCACATCAAAAGTATGGGTCGTTGGAGTAATGTGTCATTTAGCATGCTATTAAAAATGTTAAAAGAGGAGTTATTGCCTAATGGGGCCAATTTGCCAAATTCATATTATGAGGCAAAGAAGATTATTCGAGATTTTGGGGTTTCTTACGATAAGATTGATGCTTGTAGTAATGATTGTATGTTATATTGGAAGGAGGATAGCTTACTCGATTCTTGCAAAATTTGTGGTGGGTCCAGATGGAAAATAAATACACATACTGGGGAAACAAAGAATAAAAAGGGTAAAAAGATAGCCTCAAAGACTTTACGTTATTTTCCCTTAAAGTCTAGGCTTCAAAGGTTGTTTATGTCTACAAAGACATCTTCTCTAATGACATGGCATAAGGATGAAAGAACTAATGATGGAATAATGAGGCACCTAGCTGATTCAATGGCATGGAAGTCATTCGATGACCTTCATCCTTCATTTGCAATCGAGCCTCGCAATGTTCGACTTGGACTGTCTAGTGATGGATTTCAGCCATTTCGCAATTCAAAAATCTCACATAGCATTTGGCCTGTGGTTCTTATTCCTTATAATTTACCACCTTGGTTGTGTATGAAACAAGAAAATTTTATATTGTCAATGCTTATTCCTGGTCCAAATGGTCCTGGAGATGCAATTGATACATATCTTCAGCCTCTAATTGAGGAATTGAAGGAGTTGTGGGAAGTTGGTATTGAGACCTTTGATGCATCAACTAAACAAAATTTTAAGTTGCATGCTTCTTTGTTATGGACTATCAATGACTTTCCAGCTTATGGAAATTTATCTGGATGGAGTACAAAAGGAAAATTGGCATGTCCATCTTGTAATAAAGACACCTCCTCAATTCGATTGGCTAATTGTAGGAAATAATTCTTTATGGGTCATCGACGTTACCTTCCCAAGGATCACAGATGGAGGAATGACAAGAAGTCATTTGATAATACAATAGAGAAGAGGCTCCCACCAAAAACATGTTCTGGAATTGAGATACTTAATCAAGTGCAAGATCTTGAAGGACAACCATTAACAAAGGATCCCAAGAAAAAGAGGAAGATATCACATGAAAAAAGAAATGATAATTGGAACAAGAAAAGTATCTTTTTTGAACTTCCATATTGGAAATCTCTCTTGTTGCGACATAATTTGGATGTCATGCATATTGAAAAAAATATATGTGATAATATCATGGGGATAATCATGAATGTCAAAGGAAAGACAAAAGACACAATTAACACTCGGTTAGACTTGAAGGAAATGAACATTCGGCTAGAATTGCACCCTATCCAAAGAGGGGAGAAAGTTGAAGTTCCAACTGCATGCTACACATTGTCGCCTGAAGATAAGCACAATTTATGTCTTTTCTTGAAGAATTTAAAGGTCCCTGATGGATTTTCATCTAATATTTCTCAATGTGTAAACTTGAAAGATCACAAGATATCTGGATTAAAAAGTCATGATTGTCATATTCTTTTGCAACATATTCTCCCTCTTGCTCTTCGTGGTATGTTGTCCAAAGAAGTGTTTGAACCTCTTATTGAGTTATCAAAATTTTTTTGTGTGCTTGGATCAAAGGAGTTGATGATTGATGACTTGACACATATTGAAGCACAAATTCCCATAATACTTTGCAAGTTAGAAAAGGTCTTCCCTCCTTTTTTTGATGTCATGGTGCACTTGCCTGTTCATTTAGCTGGTGCAGCACAGATTGGTGGACCTATTCATTATCGGTGGATGTATCCTATTGAGCGATGGTTATATTTTTTGAAATCTCTCATTGGTAATAGGGCATGTCCAAAAGGTTGTATTGCAGAGGGCTAGATTGCAAATGAATGTATGACCTTATGTTCAAGGTATCTGCATAGAATTGACACAAAATTCAATAGGCCAGAAAGAAATGATGATGGGGGTTTAAAAAAGTAAATGGGGGTTTATCCATATTTTGTCAATCTGGAAAAAATTTGGGAGCTAAAAATCCTTTTGAGCTTGAAGCTAAAGAATTGGAACAAGCACATATATACATTCTGAAGAATTGTGATGAAGTCATACCATATCTTGAGTATGGAGAGTTCTTTTATATAGTATTTTTTTTTTCTTATTTCCTTTAAGGTGATATAGTTTCTATATGAAATTTATGGTTAACCTCAATTTTGTATAGAGTTTGCACAAAATCATATAGATACTGCTCAACACTTGACAGATGCAGAATGGAATCAAGAATTTATTGAATGGTTTAAAGATAGGGTGAGAAATACATAAATAATAGATTCAACATTTTGACTTTTTACTAATCATTCTAAATTACTAAATGTTATCTTACTTTTAGGTTGCACAATTGCATAAAGCAAATAATAGTCAGCTCATGGAAGATCTTCTCTCACTTTCACGTCGTCCTACCAAATATTCAACACATTCTAATGGCTACATTGTTAATGGATATAGATTTCATGTAGAAGATCATGATCAAATGTTAAGGACTCAAAATTGTGGTGTTGTTGTAGTTGGCGAGAGTGATAAAGATAGTGAGAATGTTGATTACTATGGAATTTTAACAGATGTGATTGAATTGCAATTTATCTCGAATAAAAGAGTGATTTTGTTTCGGTGTAACTGGTTTGATGTGTATGACAAAGTAAAAGGAGTTAAAAGAGATGAGTATGACTTCGTGAGTGTGAATCCGAGTAGATTTTTGAAAACAAATGAGCCTTTTGTTTTAGTTAACCAAGCATCTCAAGTGTTTTATGCTAATGATAATTCCAACAAAGGTTGGCATGTAGTAAGGAAGACTCAACCTCGTGATTCCTATGAGATGGGGAAACAAATGGATGATGATGATGTTGTAGTTGACTTAGAAAGTCCTTCACAAAAGAAACAAAAAAGAAATGATGAGGTAATGTATCTTTTGTGAACTGATAGACACAATTTCTTTTATATTACATTATATGGTCGCACATGATTCTTATTTGGCGGTGGGGATCGCGAGATTGATTTCTCTTTTTGATTATTGATAATTCATACTGTTAAAAACTCCTATTCTTGATTACTTTGATTCTATTCCTTTAGTTCACTAGTAACTATTGAAAGACTACTTTTCTTTTGTTCTTCAGTTCACTGATAGAAAGTTTCCTTATTATTTTTCTACCTTTGACTTTTTTACAGGTTCAATATGAAAACTGAAAATGTGGACGGATCAATTATGAAGAGTACTATCAGATACTCATTTGTTGCTCCCGGGACAATTGGAAAAGGACGAGGACGAGGGCTTAAATCTTTGACATCAAAAGGAAAAGATCCAACTAAGAGTTTATTTTTTCAATCTAGTGATCTAGTTAAGCAATACATCCAAGAAGTTGAAACAAGTAAGATTTTTAATATATGTTGAGTTTTTAATTGCATAAATATACTTATCCTACTCACTTATCTCACTTTGTAGTATATACTTATCCTCTCATCAATGTATTATCATCTATCTATTTATGGATGACTTTTGCTTTTCTACAGGTGCTATTGGGAAGGGGCGACAATAAGAACTTACCAACGTCACCATGTCTTCTAGTCATGATAAGAGAGTGATACATAAGAAGTCCATGGCTCTTGAGAAAGGGTACATGCAAGTTAATGCTTCATCTCATCCATCTATCAAGCAAGTTAAGCAAAACATCCAAGAATTTGAAACAAGTATGTTTTTTCATGACTGTTGATATATTAATTACATAATAACTTAAATTAAATGTCAAAGCTTCTTCGCCTATAACTTAGTTGTGCTGGTCTGTCTTGCTAATTTTATCCATATAGTAAACTCCTACAAGTTGAGGCCTTATTTTTTGTCAAATAGTTACAGGGAAATTGTATTCAAACAGTAGCGGTTTGTTTTATCCAGGTTCTATTGGTAAGGAACGAGGAACTGGACATAAAAACTCCACCATGCCTTCTAGTGAAGATCATACTCCCTTTCATTCATTTACTAATCAAGTAAAGCAATGTACCAAAGAAGTTGAAACAAGTATGTTTCTTTTTTAAAATCTGTTATATTTTTAATTCCATTTAAAACAGAAAGTAAATGTCAAAGTTTTTATAATATTACTTCTTGATTCTAGGTGCTATAGAAAAGGGAAGTGAGCAAATGCCTAGATCTTTCTGCTCATCTTTAGGGGTTTCTGAAAAGAATTTGGAATCTAGTCGAGGACTGCCATCAATGGATAAAAATCCCCTTGTTCTTGAGAAAGAGAACACGGAAATCAAATCCCCTGGTTCTACTAATCAAGTAAGGCAACCCTCCCAAACAACTGAAACAGGTATGAAATTTACAAATCTATGCATTATCAATCTGTACAACTAAATTTTACTACTATAGTTCTTACTAAATTAATTATACAACTACAGGATCATCTAATCATAAAAAGGTAAGAAGGGTTTGAGGGACCAACAAGTGTAAAGAAGTTGCATCACTTGAAGCCGGAAAGAAGCTGAAAGTAACATTTTACAATAATCGAACAGTTGGAACAAATAGCAATCTGTTTTCAAGGCACCTAGGAAAAATAATTCGTGATTGTAACATGTGTCCATTGGGAGTATCATCGTGGAGTGATATCATGCAACAAAAGTTGGATCACCTGCTATTGCGGTAACAATTATGAATTACATCGTTTAACTTGTTGAATCACAACTTGCTTTTCCTATTCAAACATTAACCACTACTGCACATCTTTTTCATGCTAAATTTTTACACACTTTTTGTATAGTTGACGCACAATGTTCACTTTCCTTTTTCATTTAAGCTCGTATTTTAATTATTGTAGGATAAATTTGAGAGTGTTGACTTGAATGATCATCGTGATCATATATTTGGATGGATGAATGAGTTATGGAATAAATGGAGAGGATACTTGCATGCTACTTATGTGAAGAATAAGCCAATCGTTCAAGCTCTTAAGAATATTCCAAAGGGAGTAGAAAAGAAGGAATGGGAGTGGTTAGTTAAGGGACACTTTTGTTCTGAAAGTTTCCAGGTACACCTAGTGATCTAATAGTCAACATTATCAAAGCAATCATTTCACAGCTCATCGTGATATTGCAGCCCTACCTTCCTTGTTTGACAACCGAGATAGCCCAGCAACAAACAAGCTCATTTTATTCCTCATGTCCGCGACCATCTCCGGAGCATAGCGGGATAATTGTGTGAACTTCAAACTGTACTCATGAACACTCAAGGACTCCTGCTTAAGTGTGAGGAACTCACGTACCTTGGCCTCTCTCAATTCTCGAGGAAAGAAATGCCCCAAGAAAGCTTCTTCAAAACCGGCCCAACTTGCAGGTGGTGCATTCTCAGCTCTGCCCCCTTTCCACTGGTCAAACCATGTTCTAGCAACATCCTTCAGCTGATACGCAGCTAGTTCAACCCGCTCAGTATCTGCCACATGCATCACATTAAAAATCTTCTTCAACTCCTCAATGAAATCCTCTAGATCCTCAGTAGTGCTCGAACCCATGAAACTCGGAGGATTCATCCCCAAGAACTCACGAATCCTAGAAGTGTCAGCTCCTTCCTGTCGAGCTCCCCTTTGCTGACCAATCTGATTAGCTACAGCTTGACTCAACATTCTAATTGCCTCTCTGAACTCGGCATTAGAAACTTCCCCTTGATTTTGCACTCCCGGTGCATAGGGTAACTCTTTCTCATCAACATAACGTCTAGGAAGACACCCTCTACCAACTCTTCGTGGAGGCATGACTATCTGAAACATGCGCAGGCACGGATTAGAAAGAAACTCTTTAGAGATAAACTCTAACGCATGAAATGAGTGTGAAAGAAATGAGAAATCTTCATAAATGTTGCAGCCTCCCAATAATAGATGTGGCGCGCTTCACACCGATAACTAGGACTCTACAGACACGGCTTCATAGACTCCCTAGGACTTCTGAACTCTGTGCTCTGATACCAAGTTTGTCACGCCCCGAGCCTACACCCTGGGCGGGACCGGCACTCAGAGACCATTTTTGGCCCCAAGCGACCATTGGCCTGGCTTTCTTATTTCAGCGGAAACCTAACCCAACAGAATAACTCAATGCAATGCAATATTACAAAACAACTTAACTTATAAAATATGGCCATAAAGGCAACTCGAATCTTAAAATAGAATATTTATATATATATATAGATGAGAGACTCAAAACTAACTAACTGACAGTCTGTCTATGAAGCCTCTAAAATACTGAGACGGATGTTGGGACAGACCCCGCAACATCCTAATAAAACAACAACTAAGAACACAAAATAATTGAGTCCTCTGGAATGCAAGGAGGCTCACCACTGACTCTGGAGTGCTCAGCTGGATCAACAACGTGCAGGATGCTGATCCGGGGTACCTGAATCTTCATCATCAAACGATGCAGGCCAACTGGCATCAGTACATGGAGTATACGAGTATGGCATCAATAATCTCTGTGTATGAAAATACAATAACTGATGTGGGAGTTTCTCTAACCGACAACCATCACATAAGAGCTATAGTGATGATACAGCGATCGACCTCACGCTGTCAGAGCATCTTATACCTGGCCAAAGGTATAAGACCTGAACTGCCTAATGGATCCACTAGTCTAATCTGAAAAGGATTCATCTAAAAAGTATGATCATTTTCTACCCATGGTGACTAACATAGTTCTATGGGGGTTGTGGGTTCTTTGAACGCTCCCCCAATTCGGTGCTCGATACTACTCCCAAAAATGTACTGGCTCTTATGTTTTTAAAACATATTTCTTCCTGTTGATATGAGATAATTACTCAAAAACTAGCCCGAAGGCTCTTTTGGAAATCTCAGTTTCCAACCTCGTTTAAATGTAAAAACATTTCTTTAAAACTTCTTTGGGAATACATAGTTCCGTAATAACTTTGAGAAATGAACTCAACTTTAAACTCTTTACTTTACTTGAACTCTTGGCTTGATGTGAAACTCTTAACTTAACATGAAACTCTTAACTTTTGACTTGACTTGAAACTCAATACTTTTGACTTGACTTGAAACTCGAGTCTTAAAAAAATGAAGCTAAAACATTCACTAAAGACTCTTGAACAACTTTAAAAACTTGCTTTGACTTACTTCACTTCTAAGCTTAACTCTTAATATCACTTGACTTATAACTTTACTTGACTTGGAACTAACTCTCCTTGAATTGGATTATGAATTCAAGGGTAATAATTTGTGTTTGGAAGGACCCCATGATGATTAGGAATAATTTAGGACAGCAAAACTTCAGAAAAATAACAAAATTAAATTCTGAAAATAGTGGAGTCTGCAGCGCAGAGCAGATTCTGTTCACAGAGGGAACAAATTTGTGACGCAGACTTTCTTCAGGCAAGCTGCCCGACTTTTCTCCATCATGTTGCCAACTCTAAACCCTCTTAACTTCAAAGGTTCTTTTCCCAAACACTTGGGGTCATAAACCCCTCAACATACAGTGGATTCCACTCAAAAACACAACCAAATTTTGTCCCAAATCAGCAAGAACTTCAACAACACAACCAACAACTTCAACAACCAAAATAAATCTTTTCTTGGAATTAAAAACGAGTTGGTGTGTGGGGGTATGAACCAACCAACACTAAGGATCATAAAATCCCTCAATATACAATAGATTTCAACTCAAGAACACAACCAAATCATGTCCCCACAACCAACAATAACTTCCACAACACAACTAACAACATCAACAACAACTAACAACTTCAACAACAAATCCAATCTTTTCTCAAATCATAAAATGAGCTTGGTGTGTGGGGGAAAGGATCAACCCACACAAAGAACTCACATACCTTGATAGGGATCACCCCCGATGAAATTTCACGATGGAAACTTGTTGATCTCCTCTTTCTCCTCTTCTTCTCCTCTTCTCTTCTTCTTCTCTTCTTCACTCTCAAGAACCCTAAGTTTCTCTCTTTTAAAATAGAATAAAAATGATCCACAAACAGCCTAACACAACAATATAACCTCAAAAGAAATGATTTGTGAAAAGACCAAAATGCCCTTAATTTCCGGACGGACTCCCTGCCAACTGCCCAACTTTCAAAGGGCATAACTCGCTCATACGAACTCGGAATCGAGCAAACTCGGTGGCATTGGAAAGATCGTTCCACAAGCTTCACAAGCATAACTGGAACTACTCCTAAATCATCTTGAGCTAGGAGTTACGACTAGTCAAAGTTGGCCAAAAACTCACTGATTTCCACACTTAGCCGCCAAATTTTCCAGATTCTGAATTTTTTCCAAAAAAAAGACTACTTCCAATTTCAAGCTTCTTCATATTCATTTTAAATTGTCGAATGTTACAATATGAATATAATTTTGAGTGGTACTACGGGGGTGCAAATGTTTGTTGTCTGTGTGGAGCTGCAAACTGTTCCTTATTTTTGGGTGCCAAGTGTTGACGATTCCGGGTAACTTAAGTTTCTTATGAATTGTTATATCTGGAATACCCTTTGTAGTATCATATCACATGTTCCTTCTTCCCAGATTTTAGACAACAAACA